TAAAAGCTCTAGAACAAAAAGATGCAAGTTCACCCAAGAAGAGTAGATGGCAAGAAGTAAGGAAACAGAGGGCTGAACCCAACAAAATACAAATAATCAATGAAACAAAGAATAGTTCTTTGAGAAAAATCAACAAGATAAACAAACTCTTATCCAAACTGACCAAAAGGCAGAGAAAGAATGTCCAAATTAAAATCAGAAACAAAAAGGGGAACACAACAATAGACACAAAGGAAATCCAGAGAATCATAAGGACATAATTTAAAAACTTGTATTCCACAAAATGGGAAACTTTAAAAGAAATGGATACTTTTCTTAATAGGTGCTACTTACCAAAGTTAAATAATGATCAGATAAACAATTTAAATAGACCTATAACCCCTAGTGAAGCAGAAGCATTATTAAAAGTCTCCCAACCAAAAAAGAAAGAAAGAAAGAAAGAAAGAAAGAAAGAAAGAAAGAAAGAAAGAAATCAAGCAAGCCCAGGACGAGATGGTTTTAGCAGAGTTCAACCAGACTTTTTAAAGAAGAGTTAACACCAATACTCCTCAAATTATTCCAAAAAGAGGAACCAAAAGAACATTACCCAATTTTTTTTTTATGATGCCACAGTTACCCTGATGCCCAAACCACATACAGACTCAACTAAGAAAATTACAGTTTCTCTTATGAACACAGGAGCAAAAATACTCAATAAAATACTTGAAAACTGAATCCAAGAACACATCTAAAAGACCATTCATCATGATCAAGTAGGCTTTATCTTAGAGATGCAGGGATCTGTACACAACATACAAAAATCAGTCAGGCAATCCGCCATATCAATAAACTGAAAGACAGAAACCACATGATCATCTCATTAGATGCAGAAAAGGCATTTGACAAAATCAAGCACCTATTCATGATAAAAGTCCTGGAGAGATTCTGGGTTCAAGAGACAAGCATAAACATAATAAAGGTAAAGGCTAGCCTATAGCTAAGATCAAAACAAATGGGGAGAAACTCAAAGCAATTCCACCAGCAGACAGTTGTTCATTTTCTCTTTATCTATTCAATACAGACTTGACGTTCTAGCTAGAGCAATAAGATGACTGAAGGAGATCCAGGGGATACCAGTTGAAAAGAAAGAAGTCAAAGTATCATTATTTGCATATGATATGACAGTATACATAAGTGGCCCCAAAAAGGCCACTAGGGAACTCCGACAGCTGGTAAAGGAATAGGCAGACTTTTCTTTCTTGAGTCTCTAAATGGAAAGAGATCACTATGCACACCATATCTACTTTGTATACATTGCTGTACTAGACAATTTCTGGCATAATATTCCAGACATAGCAATTCCATAGCAATTGGAAACAAAAAGGATGTGAAAATGTGTGTGTTGATGAGGCCAGGACTGAATCCAGGCTTTGCTGGTAATGCTTCTATATAGAACATGAGATCACAACATGACTGCTGCTGGCTGTTAGAGCAGAAGAGTCTAGAACTCAGTCAGTCATTGTCCCACCACCACCTGAGTCCGTGAGGTTTTGCTCACTCACCACCCATTATATAATACAGAAAAGCCAACTTTATTTAAATCTTACAAAGACACTACAATGTTAAGTGTTGCATTGCTTAAAATAAACAGCAGTCATTTAAATATTGCTTTAATGCCACTAATAAACAAACATATGTGTGTTGTGTAAAACTTACAAACATATGTCTTAAGAATAGTTTATAAGCCGGGCGTTGGTGGCACATGCCTTTAATCCCAGCACTCAGGAGGCAGAGGCAGAGGCAGGCGGATCTCTGAGTTCGAGGCCAGTCTGGTCTCTAGAGTGAGTGCCAGGATAGGCTCCAAAGCTACACAGAGAAATCCTGTCTCAGAAAAAAAAAGAATAGTTTATAATAATATAGATGATATTGTGGCCTTGAAGTTGTGTAGCTGAGGTCTAATCGTATTAGAATATAATAAGAAAAGGCAGCCAAACCCCTGCTAACAGAAAATGATGCTGAATATTACCTTGAGTCCTACCCACACTTTAAAGACCAACCAGCCCAAATTCAACCTGTGTTCTTATCTATCCTCTGGTCTTTGAATCTGAACAGCACATTCTGTAACCTATATACGCCCAAATGTCAGTCAACTCTTGTTTTGTCTGCTAATCTTACCATTTCATTGAGTTAAATATAAGCTCCCAGAGAACAAACTGTGTGTCCCTACAATATTTAAACAGTGCTAGGTCTTCGGATGTTTTCGGTGATTTTATTAGTACCACTTCTTGATCTGCAGAACTTGGAAGTCCATTAAATAACATTTCTATGAAACAGTAAAACATGGGGCAGAGATGGAAGATGATATGGGACTTTTAAAGCTGATTACCAGGTTGGGGAGATGGCTCAGTGGGTAAAGTGCTTGGCCCTCAAGCATGAAGACCCGAGTTTGATCCCCAGCGCCCATACAAAGCCAGATTCTTGTGTGTCCATAATCCTAGTGCTGGAGAGGTAAGTGAGAGTCAGTCTAGCCAAATCAACATGTTCTAGGCTCAGTAAGTGATCCTATCTCAGGTAGAGAGCAAGAGAGGTAGACAGCCAGCTTTGAGCTCTGACTTCCACCCATGCCCCATGTGTCCATGCCTTGTGTGTGTGTGTATGTGTGTACTCACAGGCTTGTACCTTTGTGCAGACATACAATTTAATTTATAAAGCAGAACGGGTAGTTCTTCAGTAAAGGAAATGCAGTGATATAGTATGCATATCCTTCGGCAATTACTTGGCTTTATAGACCTCTAAGGCCTATGCATAGATTGTCTCAGGTTTCTTTCTTGCATAGTGTGCAGACTTCACCTGGGGACAGTGGTTTCTAATGTCAGTTCCAAGGAACTACAAGACTCCACCAGCTAGCTCTAAGGCTTGGCCTCCAGATAGCATTAAAGACTTCTGTTAATCAAAGACCCTGTTTGCCCCTAGTTGAAGGACTATTAGCTAACTCCACAGAGGGTTCCTGCCTTTCAAAGAAGTAAAACACAAAGCCAGTTTCTCCTCCATTCTTCTCTTCCCTTCTCCATTAGAGATGGACAGTGGCAGTAATATGAGTGACTGTTTCACCAGCAGTGGCCCTTGATCAAGGAAACACTCCACCAAACCAGGAGCCATTATTCATAAAGGGTGCATGTGACCTGCTGCTTACCTAACATGTCAGTAATTCCCAGGAAAAGAGTTAGCCTATACTACCTCTGTAACTCATGTCTCAATAATTAGTTCCTCTGCTTCTGCTAGAATTCCCAGTTTGTCACTGACCTCAGATAAAAGGCTGCAAACAGTGACATCATTCTAATATGATAGTACTGGAAAAACAATGCTGCCATCAAAGGATGCTTGAACAGTGAGTTTCAAGAGCTCCTACTCTTAACATGCCACAAGCTTATCCAACTACAAGGCTCTGAATTTCCTAAATTCTCCTTGTCCCTACCCATGTCTAAATGAAGAGAAAGAGTTAACAATGGTGGCAAGTAAGGCCTTTAGATCAATGGCAGCTCCACTATAAACCAATGGCTAATGAAATGTTGGGCAATCCGGCTTAAGACCCTGCTCAATGGGTCTAAAATAGTTCTGTGGTTACGAGGATTAAATGAGATAATGGACATCGGACTCCACCCAGCATAAGACACAGAGTAGGTTCTCATTAAACTCTAAGAAAAACCGTCTCATTAGTATGGTTGATTTTCTTTTAAAGAATGGAGATGCCTGGGCTGGGGAGATGGCTCAAGGAGTAAAGACGTTTCCTGTCGATTCCCACAACCCACATGGCAGGAGAGAACCTACTACAGTTATGCGGGTGCCGGTGCCTCCCCTGCACACACAAAATAAATAAACGTAATAAAAATAAATTTAAAAGGAGTGGAAGTGTTTGCAACCAAATTCCAGTGATGACATATAAGAAAGCAAAAGCTTCTAAAAATGTAAAGCTTCGATAGCTGTAAATAATGCAACCACACACACACAAATCAGTGCACATTCTTGGGAAAAAGCGGGGGCATTATCTGAATCAAGTCCCAACTTTAATGGCCACGCTGCTTGACTTGGATCCTTTGGGCAGGTGGCTAGAAGGTTTTTGTTTTGTTTTGTTTTTCCCCCCCTCAGGAATCGCTCCTCACACATCAGCTCTTTCAGAGAAGGGTAAAATAAAATAAAATAAAACCTGCCCTTCCAATGACAAGTCGAAGCCCCACCCTGAGAAGCTGTGTGACCCCACGTGTGGCTCGTGATGTCCCTGCGCGTAAGGGGACACAACCCACAAGGGGAATAAGAGAGACTAAAATGACCCCGGCTCCCTTCCTTCCAAGCTTCGGGTGGTGGGTGGATCAAGCGGCCAGGGTTTGGTGGCCCCTGACCTTGGCCAGGGTCGGTGTGTTTGGCACTAGTCCCCTTCTTCGCCGCCTACCGGGCGCTGCGCACTGCCCCGCCCGCCCTCGAGGCCGGTGATTGACACCGGAGTGGGTACATACGGGTCCACGGCGGCGCAGCAGGGCTGGCGTAGGGAAACATGGCTTTCCCTCTCCCGGCCTTCCGCCCGCATCACGCCCGCCCTGGGCATGGCCCGGGGGACACCCTCGACCCCGCCTGGCTCCTCTGCCTGTTTCCACGGTTTTTGATTTCCCTGGCCTGGGAGACTCTTCACGTTGCTTTCCCTCCACCCTGAGAACAACCTGGAGTTTGCCAAGAGGAAACTCCTGCTAGGGGGATGGACACCCGCCCTGGTTGCTGCTGGCAAGAGGTGGAAACCATTCCAGCCCGGAGTTGATGGAGAGGGAGGGCACGTCCCTGGAGGGAAAGTAACACTCGGAGCTCGGTGCGGGGCCAGCGAAGTCTGCAACAGGCATCTGCAAAAGGAGCTGGCAGCAGTGGTGCCCAGTGCCTGAGTTACTACGCGCATCGCTGCGTCCATCGCAGCGCCGGGGGGGCTTGCTCCGAGCACACTCGAGGGCCTGCGAGCAATATTTTTCAGCAGGACTTACCTTTCTCTTCGGCATAATGACTACGTTGGTGCAGCAAAAAGTAAAGCAACGGTCTGGGCCGCCTGGCACGCCACTGGATGCTGCCTAGCTGCTGCAGTTGCTCCCGCAATGGGCTCGGCTAGCCCGGCCTCTTCGACCTGCACCTCCGCTTCCTCCCCCGGCGCTACACTCGCTCGCATCCCCGGGCCCCCCAAGGGCCACCCCCGCCAGCCGGCCGCGAGGCCCCATTGGTTGAGGGAACGTTCTAAATTCCACGAGGGCACGCCCACCCCAGCTCACCCGGTACGCGCAGTTGTAGTTTCTACTTCACTGGGAAAAAAAAAAAAAAAATTCTGCTTGCCGACTGAGCATGCCCAGTTCAACTAGTAGCCTTCAGGCCACTATCCAGGAGTTTCATTGTTTCAACGCGCCTTCTGTGAATTAGAGCAGTGTGCACCTTCATAGAAAAGAAGCGTTAAGTATTTACATGTTAACTTTATAATGTAAATAGGGACACGGGGCACCCCGTACACTTGTTACTCATAAGAGCTTGTAGTGGGTGTTCACGGTGCAGATCTGTACAGGGTAGGAAGGTCCTCTACTCAGGAAGTCTTACAGTTTCTAAGGCTCTCAGTCCCACCTCTAGCAAATACAAAAATGCCTCGATCTAATTGTCGTTTTTAATTATTATTTATTATTTTAATCTGTGATTACAAGTCACAAACGAATTCAGTCAATTCGTCACCTCTGTGTGAAAATGGATAGAGTTGTGGGAATTAGGAAGAAATCGAGAAAGGTAGGAACAAATTTATATTTTAGGTACATTTAAACAGCATTTGCCAACTTACCTTTCACGTATAGTGCAATGTTTCTCAAAGTTCTACAAAGAATTGCAAAAATGCATTTCTGAACTTATTTTATAAGACCAGTTTTATCCTGGAGAAAGACCTGGGTGGTGGGACTGGGGGACAATTTTAGGTCAACGCTCTTTATAAACATAGGCACAAAGACACGGACAAAATTTGTGACAGTCAAATTCAACACCATTAAGAAGATAATACATAACCAGGGAAGTTGGCCCTGGTAACACAGAATTTGTTCAACATCTGAAAATCAATCAGTGTAATGAGCACATTACTATAATAAATAAGGAACGTGATCATCTTAACAGCTGCAGGAAAAATGCTAGTGAATGTGTGAGCAAATTGTGATAAATTTGTACAATGGAATATTATCTGCTATAATGAGCTGCCCCTGCTCAGATGAGTAGCAAAAGCAAAATGCAAAGTGAAAGTCAATACAAGACACTACAACGAGTGATTTCATTTATACAAAATTACAGGAAAGGCAAACTAATCAAAGCTGGCCTCAGAATCATTCACAAGACAAAAGTCTCACTGTAGGAAACTTCACTGAAGCCTTACACTACATAGGATGAAACCTACCTTGCTTGCACAGAAGCTGCATGGAAGTACGAAATAAAGTTACCAGACGATTCATTTTAGTATCTGCTTCACCTTTTCCTTATTAATTTTCAGAACGAATGAGTCAGAAGCCTTGCAAACTCAGAATGAATGACTTCCTTTTTTGGTGAGTCTTCACAAACCCGTGGTGTAGCTTGGTCTTTTTCTGTCACTACCTGGCGTGCTTCCAAGGTCCTGCTGCTTTTATTTTCTTGGTGCTCATAGATTTCCATCTTCAGTCAAAGAGAGTCTTCCTTTGGACATGGTCCCAGTTGTCTTTGTTGGATGCCTTACTCTCAGAAACTCAGTGGATGACATATCCACTAAGGTAAGACCGATTCATTGCTTCACAGCTGCGAGAAAACCTAGAGGTTCATAATTTTACCACTAAACAAATATTTATAAGTGAACATGTCTTGGAAGAGAGTTAATTTGCCAAGTGCTTGGTGGTTGAAGAAGAAAAAAAAATGCCAGGGAAGATATTTTTAGTAAGATGTGTGGGAAAGGTGCTGGGTAGTGTACGAATGTAATCTGGGTTGAAGTGGCTTTTGCTTTTGGCAAGTACCTTGTCACTGAGCTGCATTCCCAGCCCTGTTGTTTTTCTTTATGGAAATTTAAGGATGACAGTGTTAGGTGTAAGGTGACTTTCCAAACCGTCTGGTATTGAAAAGTGACTCATAAAGAAGGTTTCTTTCACTGATCTTTTTTAAGACCACATACTAAGGTGAGAGGAGCAAACAAAATTACGATCACTATTTAGTGCACGCAATAAAGTAGTTGTGAAGAAATTGAAGCTTGCTGGCTGGATAAAGAAAGCTGACTGTGGGGCTGGAGAGATGGCTCAGCCGTTAAGGGCTCCAGTTGCTCTCAAGGAGGGCCCAGGTTTGATTCCCAGCACCCACGTGGTGGGAGGTCCACAACCATTCACAACTCCAGAGCCAGGGTATCCAATACACTTCTCTGACTTCAAGGGAACCATACATAAATACTGATATGACGTGACAAATAAGAATGTTCTATTCTGTTTGTGTCTTACTGGTAAAGCCCCTAATTTGTTGACATGCTAACTTTGGGAGAGACTAAAGCAGCTGGGGTATTCTAAGAACCACTTACCCTAAATCAAATGAGTAGGTTGCAAACAGTACAGATTCCTCAACACGCTAACTCAGTCTTACAACTGGGCCTGGGAGTCTGCGTTTCAGATAAACTTCCTATGTTCTAGCTCTATAATTTAAGAATTCTAGGCTAGGTCTATGTTCTCAAAACATATTTACCAAATGCTAGGACAGTTGTTCCTCATTCCATGACCATGATACAGCAGCCATGAATGTTTCTTTATGAAACGGTGTCTCATCTGGTATACACTCAGTTTTTTCTATGAAATGGAGTCTAGTCTGGTATACACTGTCATCTCTATGAAATGGAGTCTCATCTGGTATATACTAAGTCATCTCTATGAACTTGTGTCTCATCTTGTATACACTAAGTCATTTCTAGATAAGTCCTTGAAACTAATACAACATGGACACTCTGAAGATAGCTGCTCTGGGGGGATGGTTTAGGATATTATAAGTAGTAAAGAAGTGCACATCAAATCCTCTTGACTTCAATGTTTCTGCAAAGTGGGAGCGCAATCCTGTGAGTGAAGTTGTCCCTGTAGACCTCACCTTGCCTTCCATTTTCTAGCTTGCTTTGGTACTGATTTTTTTTTCCACACTCTTCCTTTCCTTAGCTTTGAGACACTGGAAGAGAAATTAACCTTGTACACATCCAGATTAAAGCACTTCTCTCTTCTCATTAACCATTCACGGCATCTCCACACCCCATATCCTCAAAGGGTTCCTAACCCCAAACTCCTGCAAGCCATAGCTTTTCATAGTGTTACTATGTTAACAATTGTACAAACACCTGTATCTATTAGTAGCAAGAGAGGCCATGGTTCTCTGTGACCTTCTGAAAGGAAATTTTTTCCCAACTTCAGTCCAATTTAACCCATACACAGGTAATTTGCTTCCAGTGTGTTTTATACATCTCTCCCATCTCCAAGTCCTTTTAGGTCCATCCTCTGTGTATTTGCATTTCCTTGATTCTGATGGTGCTTGAACTCACAGGAACGTAATTCTCTCATTGTAGCTCCAAAATGACTATGTGAGGATAAATTAGACATACTTGGTAGCTAGGTCTAGGGACTGGGTTACAGTCTTTTAGTCATCTCTTTCTACATGTCCCATGCAAAGGGACAGTTGGTTAAAAAAGGAGAAACTGAGTGGAAGGGAGCCCCCAAGGTGTGTGATGAAGACAGCCACGTGAAGATGACTCCCATTCCCACAGGGAAAAGAGTACAAGGTACCAAAGGCCAGGTAAGAGTTGCTGCCAAGCCCTCTGGCAGGGTTACACATTCTTGGAGGCTGCTGTCATTGCCAGCCCACTCTCAAATGGGACCACACCCTATCCAATAAGTTGGTAGGTCTTACCATTTCAGATGATACCTGCATTTCTTCAAATACCAGAATCCCCAGGAGTTGGCAAGAGCCATTAAACAGCCCATCCCTGTCCTTGCTCACAGTAAACTTGTCTTTCAAATAGAACCTACCATTTTCCTTTTCTTAATATAAGCAAAGAAGCCTAAATTAAAGTTAAAGGATGAATGAAAACTGAAGCTTAAGGGCCTGAGAATTAAAGAAATTATTCCCTAAATATCATAAAGTTTCTGGGGATGATGCTCAGGGTGGCTTGGTTAGTACCTTTTCTAACTGTGAATTGATAGGTAAGAGTTGAGCCAGACAACAACATGAGTTTGCAGGTTAGAGTAAATTCTAGCAATGAGACAATACATACATGCATTTGTAACCAGCAGTGAAGGGTAGCCTGAAATTTCTTAAGGTTCTTTTTAAAGTTTTTTGCCTTTTAGTTTTCATTTATTTTATAACTAAATCTTTACTATGAAGATTTAAATGAAAATTTAAAACACCATTAAAATTTAAAAAAAATTAAAAACACCATTCAGAAAAAAAAAATCTAGCCTATATCTTGCCATGTGAGTGAGTAGGAGTTAGATAGATTCCCTGATACGGGGGTGGGGGGAGGGGTACCTGATGAGATAACAGAGATGGTGAACTTCCAAGATGGCTGGCTTTTTCTCACACTCCCCATATGATACCCAGGTCTGGCTTTTTCTCCTGTCAGTAGGAACTGGCTAGCCAAGTTCAAGACAGTTGTGAGCTAGTCACCTATTTTGTCTTTGTTGAAACTAAGGAACCCAAAACTGGGGAAGGAAGACCCCTTAAAAGACCCTTACAACACACACACACACACACACACACACACACAATTTGAAAAGGGTTTTTCATAGTCTGCTTTATCTCAATAATTCACTTCTTTGCTTGATAAGAACCATCTTGCAGCTTTAGCAAAAGCTTACCAAAAGTCTTATGAGCTGCAGTCATAGTTGTGAATTCAAGTCCGAGCTCACTGAGCTAAGATCATATTAGTTAATATCTTGGAACCTAAGTGGACCTCGAAGCAATGCCAAAACAGAGGCAGCTCTTAGGAGCTAATCTAAGCTTCCAAGTGGCAGTGAAGAACATTGTGTTTGACATTATCTTAATAACTGGTTCAGTTTCCTGAACAAAAACAAATTACCAAGGCATATTGAGCTATTTGTGGACAAAAAAAAGTTAAAAGCCAACTAAAATTATGTCGATACAATTGAGATGGACCAAAATTAGACTAAAGGA